GGAAGAAACAATCATTTATGGATGTACAATACCTTTTAAGGTCGCTGTACTTGTCAATACATGAGCAATGGGAAGAGATCCCGATGTTTGGGAGGATCCTGAGAGTTTCATACCAGAGAGATTAGAAAATTCTCCTATTGACTATCTGGGAAATAACTATGAGTATCTCCCGTTTGGTGCAAGAAAAATGATTTGTCCAGAAATGCAGTTTGGTTTAGCTAATGTTATACAAACTCTAGCTCGACTCATCTACCACTTTAACTGCGGGCTTCCATGTGGAACACGTACTCCAAAATATTAGGATATGTGTGAGAAAAGTAGATTAATTGCAGCAAAAGAGAAAAATCTCTACTTAATTGCCAAAACGAATCAAAGTTTGGATGTCATGCTCTAAATGGTTAAAATGAGCAAAGAATAAGATTTTCTTCAACTTCTTTTAGTTAGATGATATTTGGTCTTTGAATTTTATTTACCCTCAAAGTTAGTTAAGAAAATATTCAACAATTGGTTTTACAATTTTACTTCTAAAGGTTAGATAATTGAAGAATTTTTTCCATTGGAATTTTGTTTAGTATGTAATTGAATGCTCACATTTTGTTTTGCCTTAAATTCTCCCAAGTAATTTTTTTCAGTCCATGTCAATATCTCATATTGATATACAATCTTCATTATATGATCACATTTTGTGTCTCTCTATTTATCTTGTATTTTTTTTGTTTTGACACTTGAATTAAAATTTATACCCATTTGATTCTTGAATTCGAGCGAAGTAAATATAGCTCTCAATTTTGAGATTAAGAGTAGATTAAACTTCTCGTTAAGAAAGTAGTGAATCGATACATCACTTTCGTTTAACAAATTATGCATAATTACTTTTTCCATTAACAAACATATATTTACTAAATTTAAAAAATATTCTAAAACTGATTTTTAACTATAAAAATATCGCGGGGCTTGAAAATTATAACACCCACTTTCAACACAATCCCTCTTCTATCGGTCGGTTTTGATCAAGTCTTTCTTTTGTTCTGTCGGATCAGGAGGAGGTATAGAAATGACTAAATTTTAGTAATAGCAAATATAATAATCATACTAGGGCTCTATAGCTACATTTTTTCTATTTGTGCTTCACAATAATACCTTGTGGGAACCGATCAAACTACCAAGATTGCTGATTTCGGGATCGCCATGACTTTTAAACAGGCCATGAAAGAAAATTGCCAACTGATGATCAAGGCAACAAAAAAGTATATGGCACCTGAATTTCTGCGTAACTATTACTATGGCCCACACATTTATATTTCGGCTCTTGGTTGCACTATCTATGAGTTGATTACAGGGACACCGCTGTTGGACGAAGATGATGATCAAGTGTTGCAGAAAATCGCGTTTGAGAAACCAAAATTTCAGAATTGAATGTTGTCAAAGGAACCCAAAGATTTTTTTTGAAGGGATGTCTTATGATGAATCCCAGAATGCGTTAGACTTTCAATCTGCTCTTGTACCATCCTTTTATGTAGAACTCATCCAAAGTAGTCAACAGAACAAATACAAGGAAAAAGAAAACGGTTTCAAAGACCATTCTACAAAAACCAATCCAGAAGATAACGTTGATGTTGGGAAATTATAAATTCATGAGGAAATTGCAAGTTCGGAAGGAAGTAGAGAATGAAACTTGTGGAAGGGTACAAGGTACTCAAAAATAGATTTATAACTAATAAAAAATCATTTTTAATATATGTAAAGAAGTACGTGGTGTGGGCTTGATCCCTCTATGGATTTGTTTTTGGCTTTTGTGAATTTTGCTCTTCGATATCTTTTATTTGTTGTTATTCATAAAGTAATCAAATATAAGTACTGAGATATTGGTTAACATATTTTTTCCTCCCAATTTGAGAACATTCTTTGGGTATTTATTAACTTCAACCTCTGGCAAGGAATTGCAATTCAAAAGACAATCAGCAAGGCTTCTTCCGGGTTTGACAATAAATCCAGGTGTCATATACCTTTTTATTCCCCTGATCATTAGTCCTTGTTTTTCCTTCACACAATGTTTCAAAGTCATGGAGATCCCGTAATCAGCAATCTTGGTAATTTCGTAGGTGCCCACAAGGCTAATACTACTTTTCTTATATAGTGTGTATCATGATACCTTTTCCAATACGTGGTGTACCATGATACCTTTTCCAATATATGGTGTATCATGATACCTTTTCCATACAACTCTTTCGTTCTGGAGAGAGTCCAAACCAAGGTACTAATCCTTCGTAAGGTACTCTTTAAGTTACTGAGTTATGTGAATTGCATGTTCTGTACTTCAGTTGGGGTTGTTAGATGCTTTTGTTTTCCCCCTTTTGGCTTAGTTTTATCTCATTCGAGGATGAATATTCCAAGGGGGAGATATTGTAATATCTCTTACTTCGAAAAAGCAACTAGAGATTTGTACAAGTAAAACATCAGTTTTAGTTTTGGGGTCAACTTCAAACAACGATAACTTTACATACAGAAAGAGTTAGATTTCCCATTAGGTATTAAATTTATGGTATTTGAATCCTCTTTCCAACACCACCAAGTTTGCTAAATACCGAGCTTTGATGAAGGAGTTATGCCCACTTAACTTCAACCTCTCTAGTTAAGACATTTCATCCATTTTAGGAAGGGTATTTTGGTAATTTATGTACCCCCACTATGCCTAAACGTTTGTCTCACCCAAATAGGGGTATAAACTGATTGAGATCAGTTTTATTCATTCCTAAAACACTTGGGGTACTTAGAGAGGTGTTTCAAGAGGAGAAACGAGAATCTTTCAAGAGTTCATCACGAAATTTGGGGAAGATCACCAAGAATTAGTTGTTTCAAGGTATGTAAGTTGTCATAGTGTTGGGCTTGTTCGGCCCCACACACTAATCGCGTAAATTTATACCCATGAATTCGTTCTTGAGGTTTATTGATTGTGTTTTTGAGTTTTAACTATCAATGGATGTCTTTGAGTTCATGAAGTGAGGGTTTTGCGAATGAGTTGAGAATCTTGATAGATTTTTGTGTGGGTTTCATTAAATGTACCGGGCTTATCAAATTTTGGGGATTTGGAAAATTAATTACATAAGGTATGAATTTACTTGAGCTTGGGAGAGGATGAAAAGAACGGCCAAATAATTGAGCCTAGGTCCATGTCGTAGAGATGTTTTAAATTTTCTTCCTTTAGAAGACCCCCCCCCCCCATCCACATCACAAGGAGGGTACGGAGTTCTATCTCTTGAAAATATTTTTGTGACCAAAAACTTTATTCACCCTCCGAGTCATGCCATGGATACTCTAGGGTTACCTAGTCTTTTCTTCTCCGTGCTTCGTCCCTTATGTGTTCCTCTAAATCGTATCTCCAATCTATTTTTAATACTAACTATATAACCCTTCATTAATCATTTAGAGGTCCTTATACCATAATTATAGCTCTTCAATTCACATTTCAAATCAACGTAAGGTTAAAAGGAAAGTTCAACAAAGTCCTTTGAGTTTTTTTGAGAAGTCTTTTACAATTATCTATAACTTGATTTAAGACTTGAGTAAATAAGTAGGATAATGAGGAGAGTTGAGTTTCATGTTTGAAAATCAATATAAGTGAACAAAGTATTCCCAAGTATGTAATACTTTTACATTTAAAACGAGAGAAACAATGATTTCTAAATGAGTTTCTTAGGAGTTTTGAGAACCACATCTTTTAAGAGAATCTTTTGAGTAATTATCTCAATTTGAGAAAAGAGTTATGTTTTAAACATATGAGCATGAGTTATATATTATTGGGAGTAGTATTGAGCACCGACATGGGGATGAGTTCAGACAACTTGAAATTATCATAAACCATGTATGCAAACAATATGGGTAAAGGGTCATACTTTATATGATTCCTTATTGATTTTAAGCATAGCTCAGTGGATCCACTTATTTGAGGAGTTTTATACCCCAACAAGGTGTTGATCAACTTAGTTGAGGAGTTCTATACCCCGACAAAGTATAGGAATGCTCTGGCAGTGTGAGCGAGACAATGTATCATCATGTAGCTCATAGTGATGGTTGTCAGAAAAAGAATCTCCCAAATAAGAGTAAATATTTTATTATTATACTTTTATACTTATGTTTTAGCTTTCCCCTTACATGCTCATACATTTAATATACTAACGTCATTCGACCTACATCATTTTATGATCCAAATAAAGGTATTCAAGGTCATCAACAAGCGCTCTGGTGATACCATTCGTATACTATATAGCTTTGGTAAGCCTTTTTACTTTTCGGAGGGTTCCACATTTACATTTTTTCTTTGTTAAGGTGTCGTGAGTCTTTTCCCATCATCTATCGTAGAATTTAGAGGCCTCATGGACAGTAGTAGTTGAGGAGTCCTTCATTGTTTCCCTTTGTTTATGTTTTGAGACTTGGAGATTATTACATAAGTTCATTTAAGTACTTTCAAATATTTATTTGATGATGAGTTGTTTGAGACTTTCTGAGTTAAGTTTGGTAGTTGGAAATTCCATTTTACTTGAGGAAGTCTTTCGCTAAGTAGTTAGTCAGGCCAAGGGTTCGCTTGGGGACAAATCATGGTTCTCGAGTGCCGGCCACGTCTAAGGGGTAGGCTCAGGGGATAACAAGCTTGGTATCATAGCACATAATTCAAGAGTTCTAGGATGTATATAAAGTCATTTATGTAGTGTCCTTGTTATTGGTGTGAAGCGCGCCACATCTATAATAAAGAGGCTACAACATTTAGGAAACATTTTATTTCCTTCTTACTCTCTTTCGTGGGATAGAGTTCAACTCTATAAAAGTTTCTTTCTAATTCGTGCTTCCGAGTATATTTTTAGATCATGCCTCCACGAGAAGTTTTTTGAGGTCGTCCTTCCAGGAGAAATGTTGATCATCAAGATCAAAGAGTACCCAATGCACCAAAAGTGAAACTCTCTCAAGGAGAGGTCACTAATGCTGAGCTCTGAGATGTTATCCGGATGTGGAGTCAAGTTGTGGCACGTCAAGATGGTCAACAAAGAGTTTTTCATAAGGAATTGGCTGATACATCAAAGATATGTCAGTTCTTGAGGATGAATCCTCTAGAATTCACAGGGTCAAATGTCACTAAGGATTTGGAGAACTTTGTGAAAGAATTGCAGAATGTGTTTGAGGTTATGCATGTTGCTGATGTTAAGCGTGTGGAATTAGTTGCATACTAGCTCAAAGGTGTTGCTAGGATTTGGTACGATCAATGGAAGAAGAGCAGGGATGAAAGGGCACCACTAGTGAGTTGGGCTCTCTTGGAAAGTGCCTTCTTAGGGCGCTTCTTTCCTCGCGAGCTAAAGGAAGCAAAGGTAATGGAATTTTTTAACCTTAAACACGAGTCCATGAGGGTGAAAGAGTAAAGTCTCAAGTTCACTCAATTATTGCGTTATGATCCTGAGATGGTGGCATATATGAGATGTAGCATGAGTCTGTTCGTCTCGGGGTTGTCTTGCTTGTCAAGTAAGGAGGGTTAGGCAACCATATTGATAGGAGACATGGACACTGCCAGCTTATGGTCCATATAAAGAATGTTGAGGATCATAAGCTAAAAGATAAGGAAGAGTTTAGATGTAAGAGGGCCAAGACAACATGTCATGAGTTCGAACACCAGAAGAACGGAAATGTGAACCGGTCATCTTATAAGAAAAGACCAAATTGTCCTTTAACATCATCAACTAGTTCACCTGCACCAAAGAATAGAGGTGATTTGAGGAAAACAACTCCTAGAATTACTGTGCTAGACCTACTTATTCTTAGTGTAGTGTGGTACGAGGGGCTAATTGGGCTTCTACATATGCTACGTAGGGTCGAAACCACCCAGTAGTGTGTTGTGATAGCTCTAATGGTTTCTTCAAATTTGTACAGATAGGTAACTTCATGAGTGAGTGTCCTAGGAGCAGGAAGCTTAATGGTAATGGAGGCAATGGAGCCCAATTTTCATCAACGGCTCGAGTGAATAGAGCTACTCCATGAGGAGATACTTGAGGAATAGGCGAAGGAGCAAACAGTCTGTATGCTATCACCAATCGCCAAGACTAGGAGAATTCACCAGATGTTGTCACTGGTATGATCAAAGTCTTTAATTTTAATGTTTATGCATTACTTGATCCAGCTACGAGTCTATCCTTTATGTCTTTGTATATAGCTATGAGGTTCGATATTCTTCCCGAGCAACCTCTTGAGCCATTTAGTGTTTCTACACACGTTGGTGAGTCTATTCTAGAAGAAAGAGTTTATCATTATTGTACCTTCTCCGTAAATCACAATGACACCATGGCAGACATAGTCGAGTTAGACATGGTAGACTTTAATGTTAATTTAGGTGTGGGCTGGTTTTATGCTTGCTATGCCTCAATTGATTGTAGAACTCGAATAGTCAAGTTTGAATTTCCTTATGAGCCTGTCTTAGAGTGGAGGAGTAGTTTGCCAGTTCCTAAGGGTCATTTCATTTCTTACCTTAAGGCAAGAAAGTTAGATTCCAAGGGGTTCATCTATCACTTAGACCAAGTTAATGACTCTAGTGTTGAGACACCACCTATTCAGTGAGTTTCGGTTGTGAGTGAGCTTTGAGAAGTCTTTCCAGATGACCTTCTTGGATCCCCTCCTAAGAGAGAAATAGACATTAGCATATACATTCTTCCTCATACTCGACTTGTCTTTATTTCATCCTATAGAATGGCTCCAGCTGAGTTAAAAGAGTTAAACGAGCAGTTGAAAGATCTTTTTAATAAGGGTTTCATCCAATCTAGTGTCTCATGTTGGGGCACTCCGGTCTTATTTTTGTGTAAGAAAGATATATTCCTTAGAATGTGTATTGATTATATTTAGTTGAACAAGGTTACTATAAAGAATAAGTATCCCCTTCCGAGAATTGATGATCTTTTTTATCAACTTCAGGGTGCCACTTGGTTTTCTAAGATAAAGCTCAAATCTAGCTACCAAAAGTTGAAGGTAAGAGAGAGTGATACTCCAAAGACAACATTCATGACACATTATGGTCATTATGAGTTTCTCATTATTTCCTTTGTCTTATCTAATGCCCCGACAATGTTCATGAACCTTATAAACAAATTGTTTAAGAAAGATCTTGACATGTTTGTTATCGTGTTTATTATTGACATCCTAATCTATTCGAGGAGTGAGGAGGATCATGCTAGTCATCTCAGAGTAGTCCTCCAAATTCTTAAAGATAAAGAGTTGTATGCCAATTTTCTAAGTGTGAGTTTTGGCTTGACTCTAGGGCGTTCATAGGCCACATTGTATCTGGTGAAGGGATCCGAGTTGACACTCACAAGATTGAAGTAGTGCATAATTGTTCTAGACCCACATCTTCTACCGATATAAGGAGTTTCTTGGGATTAGTTGGTTATTATAGAAGGTATGTCGAGGGGTTTTCATCTATATCATCACCGTTGACAAAGTTGACTTAGAAGACAATAAAGTTTCAATGGTCTGAAGCTTGTGAGAAATGTTTTTTGGAATTGAAAATCTGGTTAACTACTACCCCAATGTTCACCCTACCGGAGGGTACGCAAGACTTTATTGTGTATTATGATGTGTCCAGAATGGGACTTGGTTCTCTGTTGATGTAGAATGGAAAGGTTATAGTCTATGCCTCCTCACTACTTAAGATTAACAAGACGAATTACCCAACTCATTATCTCGAGTTGGCTGATGTAGTATTTTATTTGAAAATATGGTGTCACTATCTCTATGGTGTTCATTTAGATGTGTTCACTAATCACAATAGTCTTCAGTATGTTTTCAATCAGAAAGAGCTTAATCTCAAACTATGGACATGTTTAAATTTCCTCTAGGATTATAATATGAGCATCCTCTATCACCCAGGTAAGGCTCATTTTGTTGCTGATTCTTTGAGCAAGTTGTCCATGGAAAGTACTGCCAATATTGAGGTAGGTAAGAAAGAATTTGCCAAAAATGTGCACAGATTTGCATATTTGAGAGTCCGTTTGTTAAATTCCAATGAAGGTTGAGTGGTGGTGATGAATGAGGTTGAATCATTACTAGTTTCTGAAGTGAAGGAGAAACAAGACTAAGACCCTGGTTTTCTTGAATTAAAGGCAAATGTTCATAATCAATAGGTGGTGTCTTTTAGTCAAGGGGGGAGATTGTGTATTGCGGTATCAAAGTAGACTCTGTGTACCAAACGTGGAGGGGATTCAAGGGAGGATCATGGAGGAAGTTCATAGCTCTGGATATTTGATCCATCCCGATTTCACGAAGATGTACAATTACTTTAGGGAAGTCTATTGGCTGAGTAGTATAAAAAGGTGTTTTGTAGTTTTCGTTGATAAGTGCCCAAATTGCCAACAAGTCAAGGTAGAGCACCAAAGGCCCGGTGTATGGCTCATAACATATATCTTATGGAATGGAAGTGAAAGATTACTACTATAGATTTTATTACTTCCTTGCAGCGATCTCGTAGGCAACAAGATTTGATTTGGGTGATTGTAGATAGGATAACTAAATCAGCCCATTTCTTGCAGGTAAAGACTACCAATTCAGCCGAGGGTTATTCCAGATTGTATATTCAAGAGATAGTCCGACTTCATGGAGTTCCTGTGTCTATCATTTAAGATAGAGGTGCACAATTCACCGCTCAGTTTTCAATGTCATTTCAAAAAGATTTGGGTTCGAAGTTAAATTTTAGTACTGCTTTTCAACCTCAAATTGATGGTCAAGCAGAGTGCATGATTCAAACCTTAGACGATATGTTGAGGGCATGTGTCATATAATTTAAGGGTAATTGGGATGACCACTTGCCTCTCATAGAGTTTCCTTACAACAATAGCTACCACTCCAGTATACAGATGACTCATTATGAGGCTCTTTATGGAACAAGATGTAGATCTCGTATTGGTTGGTTCGAGGTTGGCAAACCTGTGTTGATAGGAATAGATTTGGTACATCAAAACATGGAAAAGGTTCACGCCACGAGCCTACACCGTAGGCGGGACTGACACTCGAGAACCATTCCTGGCCCAAGCGAACCCTTGGCCTGGCTTACTTACTCAGCGGAAGACTATATGCATATTTATAATGATCAAAACTTGGAATGTTTAAAAGTTAAAATTCAACTTGGCCAAAATGGCAACCTCAAGTCTCAAAAGCATAAGCCAATAATAAAGTAGTGACAAATGAATTTAACTAACTGACTTTCTGTCTATGAAGCCTCTAAAATCCTGAGATGGAGGTCGGGACAGGCCCACGACATCCTAATAAACTAATAATAAAACTAAAAGCAATAAAAGGAGTCATCCAGAATGCAAGGAGGCTCACCAACTGACTCTGCAGTGCCCACTGGATCAACGATGCACTAGATGCCGATCCTAGTAACCTGTGTCTCCATAATAATAAGATGCAGGCCAATTGGCATCAGTACATTGAATGTATAAGTATGCGAGTTGGAATGCTAAACACAATTTAAGCTTGAACAGAAACTGAAGAACTTACCTGGGTCAACTCAACTCAACATAACTGAACTCATTTCAATATAAAGTAGTTTTAAAACAAGTGCAATATAAAGAAAAGCTGTTTAAACTATGAAATCAACTTTGGTTGTATGCAAAGATACACTTAAACTCTGAAATGTATGTAAAAATACAAATAACTTTGTATATAAGAATACAAATAGCTTCTATGGGAGTTTCTCTAACCGACAACCATCACTTAAGAGCTATAGTGATGATACATCGTGTTACTTCACGCTGCCAAGGCATCCTTTACCTTGCCAAAGGTATAGAACCTGAACTACTAAGTGGATCCACTAGTCTATGCTAAAAAAGCATTAAGAGTTAATCTAAAAAGTATGACCCTTTTTCTACCCATGATGGCTACATGTTTTATGGGGCCTGTGGGTTCTCTAAACGCTCCCCCATATCGGTGCTCAATACTACTCCCAAAATATAATACTAGATCTTTATGTTTAAAAACATACTTCTTCTGTGATTTGAGATTAGTTCTCAAAAACATAGCCCAAAGGCTATCTTGAAAATCATTGTTACCCCTCTTGGTTCATTTAGAAAGCGATTACTCTTTTCTGAAAACTAGCCGGAAGGCCCTTTTGAAATCGAGGTTTCCTTTCTTGTTTAAATGTGAAAACATTTTAAACCTTTTGGGAATACATAGTCCCCATATACTTTTGAAGAAATGGACGTCAAACGTTTGTCTTTACTACTTACTCAACTTGAACTTTAAGTCTTAAAACAAAGTTAAAACATTTGGAAAAAGACTTCTTCAAAAAAAAAACTCTAAGCACTTCCTAGACTTGGCTCTTGACTTTCCTTGAATTTGAATTTATGGATTCAAAGTTCTGATTCATATTTCTGGATGATTTCTATATGTTTAGAAGTCATTTAGAGTAAATTGAATCAATGGAAAGTGTTAGTACCCTTTAGAAAGGTTTAAGTAGATTGAATGACCAAAACTGGGTGAAAAATGACGATTCGGGCAGATCCAAGGAGTCCCGCGCCGGACCCCAATTTTCTGAGGCTCATTTTGGGCGCATTACTGGAACGCCGCCCTAGCCTCCTGGTGCTATGGGGGCGCGACATACCTGGCCCTCCCCAGGTGAGTCTGACGATTTTTTGATCTCATTTTCTGATCCTAAATCATTTTAATCTAATTCTTTTTCTGAAATGCACTTTATATTCACGTACCCAAATCATATACACAAACTCTAACCCAAACAAATCAAGCAAACAACACTTTAACATCAATAAACTCTTTAATCCCAACTCATATTCAAGAACGAAATCAATTCAAGAACAACTATCAAGAACATCAAATTCTCAATCTTTTTAAGACGAAAATATGTTGAATTAAACATGCTTGGCGCATGGGTGAACTAACCCGATGCTATGTGATCTCACAAATCTTATAGGGATCACCCACGACGAAATCCACTAGCTAATCTCGACAAATCTTGAAAGAATCTTGAACGTTCTTCTCCT